AATAATATTTATTCTTTCTCCTAAAACAAACTGCAGTGTCCTTATCTAAGTGGCAGTCACAATGTACACTGTTTGGATGAAACAATGCATGTTTTTCTTTCTTTTACATTTTTTTACATATTTGATAGTATTTTTAAGCAAACATATTCAACCTGTAAAATGTATCCTTTTGTTACTTTTCCATAATGCATAGAAAATAGAAAATATTCCAACATAATTTGTTGACAGCTTGGTGATACTGTTTTTTTCTGATTTCCATGTCAAACTAGTTCAATGGGAAGCAGTAATTGCAAATCCATCAATTTATCTCTCCATAGTAATAAATCCTACAAATTCCAACTTAACACAATACATTACCAGTAAAGTCCAAGTTTGTAGTGGCTGTTGTTGAGGTTTTCTTTGGTGTGACAGTAGTATAGATAGTGTTTATGTTCGCTACATCTGAAAAAAAATATTAATCAATTTTTACATTAACAAAGATCTAATTATGATTCAGGTAAACAAAGGTAAAATGTAAATGTATTTACCTGCGCAGTATGCCAAAGAGCAAAAAGCTGGTTTCACAAACTCATAAACAAAATAATTGCCTGGACAGGCTTTGACTTTAATGGGATTGGATTGGAAATAGCAGCAGTTATTGTCCCAGTGACCGCAGACATCTCGAGTGACCACTCCATCCTCAACTGTTGGATGTCCTCCGTTCAGCCACAGTGGAGCATGAGTGCTGCAGCTATACTCATCAACACATGTGTCTGGCATCTGAACGCTAATACCCTGAATGAAGAGACGGTACCAGCCATCCCAGCTAACCTCACAGTCACACATTATTTCAGAGGTATATTGATTGTTGGTGGCTCTCCATGGATTATCTAGTACATTGTAGTCATAGCAGGGGTCAACAGGAGGAACTGCTGTGAAGAAAAAAAAAATAATGTTTTTGCAAAAGTTTATTTTCACATGTTATATACTTTTTTACTGTTGGATAGTCGTAGTATAAAATAATTATTTTCAAAGCTTAAATCAATTTTTGAGTCTGATCATCTCTTTTTATTTGTGTCAAAGGGGCATAAGCAGCAAACCTGGAGTTTATAATTGAAAGATGATTACTATTAGTTTAACTTTGGCAAGAATGCTTGCAATGCTCCTTATTTGTTATAACTGATTTGAGTAAGCTGGTCTGTAAGCCTATTTGCCTTTTTTAACCATTCACAGAGTGCATATATTAGTCATAAAGTTTTCATTGTTTTCCAACACTGAACTAAAGGATATTTTTTCTTGACACTGATCAACAGACAAAGAAAAACTGTCAAATTGTATTGGTCAATATGTATTGCAAATATCAAACACAAAATAATTGATTTCATCTATATTTACCCCATTTGAGTCGGTATTAAGTAGGTGAACCATTAACAACATTACAGCTTTGTATGGGTAGGTTGTATGGAGATCGGGAGTTGACTGACTTTTTAAGACCATGCATGAATTCTACTGTAGGTTGACTTTGAGATCTAACCTCTGAGTTGGTCACTCCAGAATATTAATATTGTTGTTTTTTCTCACCAGCCATTTCTGTGTAGTGTTGGTTTTTTCAATGCCTTGTCATGCCTTGTGTGCTTTTAAATTAGTTTTAGCAAAGCTGCAAGGTTCTTTTTTCTTCATTATGTAAACAGTGCCAAAATACTGACTCAACAGTTACAATCAGATTAAACTCCCTGACTACGCACAGATGTTCTCTAATACTTAATATTTATGTGACTGAATATAAACTAATCAGCTTCACCAGTCAGTGAAGAATGAAGTGTCATATTAAACATGAATACTGATGAAAGTTTAGTTTTGATTTTATGTTTGTAATTAAAAAAAAAAAACATGTTGTAGAGATACGTTTTCGCTTTAAGATTTGACCCTTATTCTGTTGATCAGTGGCAAAAAAACAAAACAAATGAAGTCCACTGTGATTCAATGCTGCAAAACAACTCTTTTGAAAATTGTCAAATGAAGTGTGAGAAATGATAGGAATTATATATAAATTACATAATAAATAAATAAATAAATGAATATCCATACTGTCTCATTTATTCTGCACAACCTATTAATAAAGTAAAACCAACAGTAATATATAGTCTACCTCTATGGGCAGTAATAATGCAAAAGTAACAATAATTTTACGTGCAACAATGTATAGATTTTACATAGCTTTTAAAAATATTTTTAAACTTTGTAATGTTTTTCTTTTTTTTTCTTTTTTTTAAAGCATTAAACATTTTTAATACTTTAATACTTCTCTTTACGTTTGAACTTTATTCCATTTTTAAAAAGCTATGAACACTTTTACTCCAATTCATTTCCTTTTAATTTTTGTGACTGTAAATCATGGAATTTTTAATAACTGTTATTATTTACATAAAATCACAAACATGAATCTGATTTGCTCGTGCAAAACAATAGTCCTCCAGACTGCAAAACATTACATTACCAGTCGTAATTGTAGTTGTGACAGTATAAGTGGTGTTGATGTTCATTACTTCTATAAAGAGAGAGAGAGGGAGAAAGAGATTCAAATCAAATCAACAAAGATAAAATTATGACTTACATAAACAAAGGGAAAATATAAAGATATTTACCTGCACAATATGCTAAAAAGCAGAAAGCTGGTTTCACAAACTCATAGACATAATAATCTCCCAGACATGCTTTGACTTTAATGGGATTGGACAGAAAAGAGCAGCAGTCATTGTCATAGTGACCGCAGACACCTCGAGTGACCACTCCATCTCCAATTGTTGGATGTCCTCCATTCAGCCACAGTGGTGCATGAGTGCCACAGCTGTCCTGATCAACACATGTGTCTGGCATCTGAACGCTCTGACCCTGAATGAAGAGACGGTACCAACCGTTCCAGTTGACCTCACAGTCACACATTATTTGAGAGGAATATTTATTGTTGGTGGCTCTTCGAGGATCATCCAGCACATTGTAGTTGTAGCAAGGATCATCTGTTATGGAACATTAAAATTGACATTTTTTTATACTATTACATGAGATTAGAAAAATGCTTTCCTTAAGCTACCTTTTTTAAGTTATTGACATCTAAAGACTGAACATCTATTTTCCTTTAGCAGTGACAATGAGGATATAAACAGTCTAACATGCCCTACTATTGTAGGGTAGTGTAAATTAAATAAAACGACGAATAATGAAAGAAGGATAGTGGAAAATATAAATGAAATGTGGAATGTGTAGCTCAGGATGTGACAGAATGAGTGATACGGTGGCGGGATGCACACACCTACACTCTTAAAAATAAAGGTGCTTCAAAAGGTTCTTCACAGCGATGCCATAGAAGAACCATTTTTGGTTCCACAAAGAACCATTCAGCCAAAGGTTCTTTAAAGAACCATCTCTTTCTTACCTTTTTATAATCTGTAGAACCTTCTTTCACCACAAATAACCTTTTGTGAAACAGAAAGGTTCTTCAGATGTTAAAGGTTCTTTATGGAACCATTTAGACAAAAAGGTTTTTCTATGGCATCGTGAAGCACCTTTATTTTTAAGAGTGTACACTATGTGGATTTTAAGATGAAATTGCATGACGTACTAGTACATTCCATTAGTTGTATACACTATTGCGACATGCTCCAAAATATGTACTTTTTTAATCACAAAAAGTACATACTTTTAGGGTGATTTCTGACACACCACAAACTTTTCACAATCCATTTATTTTGAGTGACTTAGTGCGGTTTGTTAAAGAACAATGTCTAATTGCTATCAGGATGGACTGGGAATGCTAGAGACTTTCATGCCATGAAATAAGAGAGACCAAAGAGAACAGGGTTAACACTTTTCAATAAACTAAGTAGTAGGGTACTTTTGATTGCATTTATAGTTTTTTCTCAATCTACGTGATCCAAACAGACTCTTACTTTAGCCAGCAGTTTCAATGCATAATGAAGTACTGTGTGCTATTCAGCTAATGTAGCAAATACTGATATTAGAACTATTGAAGTTTCTCAATACTATTGAAATAACCTGTTTATCATAAAGAGAGATCTTTTTTTTCCCTCAACAATTGAGTTTGTCTAATTGAAGGCTAGAGATCGAAATGCGAAGCAGTATGGTGAAGTGAAAGTTTTATTTTAAACATTGTTATTAGCATATGAATGGAAAGAATTACCTGTTGATTGTCCATCAATTATTTCACCTTTAAAACAAAAGAATATAAGAATAATAGATTAATTTTAAAAGATGATACAGTCAGTTCACTTATTTGAATACAGCATCATTCCAGTGTTTTTTGGCCACAGGTGTATTTTCAAATATGTATAAAACACTCACCATACAGTAGCAGCATTGAAACACACAATGAGAATATGAACCTCATTGTGAATACCAGCACCTCCTACTCCTGCACGCACACATATACACGTGAAAAATTAGTTTCTATAGTTATTGTAGTAAATTTAGTTTAATTTGTTGTCAACAGTTGGAAAAACAGCAGTTGTTTACAGTTTACAGATGTTTATATAAAATGTTATGACATATGTAACAAAACAATATGTTACAAAATAATTTAGATTTATCAAAAGCAGATGACTGAAAGAGTGATAAGAGCTCAGTGGGATAAAATGAGGCAAAGTAACTTTACCTGAGACAAAATGTTGATACACAGTAAACTCCAAAACACAGTGATGCTTAATCCCGTTACTGAATGCAATGAAGAAAGAACTTCAGGTGTCACAGTCTTGTCTATGACTGTATTAATAAATGTGGGTGGACCTTTTCTAAAACCTGGGTTGGGTTAAGTTGGCAACAAAACAATACACCACCTCCAACAATAATTTGGAGGTTTTTATTTGTTTCTTTTTCCCCCTCCTTTTTTTTTCATGTCACATGACGCCAGTAATTCTTTGTACACCTGCCATTGAGAAAAAATTTTTTTAGCCTTGAATAGATGGACGTAGATAGAAGACAATCAGATTAACCTGTATTATGATGATACTCATTCCCAAAATCATTACAGTCAATCAGACTATTACTGTTGCTTTTACACATTCACCCCAATTAATCAATGTTCTCAAAACAGTTCATAATTTTCTTAAACATACTATAAATGATTCATGATTTGATACAAATTACATACAACTTTGTCTTAAAATACTACACACAAACTTCTCTGATTCAAGGTTCAAGTGTTAACGTTAATTAACGTTAAGTTAATGCTTTCACTGATTTTTCTATACATAAATAAGTTAACAGAAGAATAGGAAGAAGTGCAGCATGGAATGGGCAGAGGAAGAGTAGAAGAAATAGGAGGAAGAGGAGGTGATAAGAGGAAGAGTGATGGAGATAGAAAGAGATGATGGGAGAAAAGTAGGAGAGGATATATGAAGAGGAGAGGAAGAAGAGAGAATAAGAGTGGAGGGCTCTTAAAGAGAAAGATGGGATATATAAAAAAGGGCACAGAGGAACCTCAAACGAATCAGTCTAACTGTGATTGTGTTATGAATCAGTGGTCAGAGAAGCCAGCATCACCGGCTTTCCTGTGATGCATGAATTCATTATTCAGTGAGCCAGAACTGGCAAATCAAGAGTCTGTTCGGATGGCTGTTTTCATTGTTTTTGAGATCATTAGGCTTAGTTTGGACAATTTGTGCAAAATCAGTGTTATGAATCCATAATGATGTAAATTGCACATACCTGTCTTTTTAAACTACATTACGTAGGCTAGTTGTCCAGTGTCACTGTCATAGTGTTTTTAATCTCCCTGTAATAATTTGCCTCTGCAGAATCTCAGGCCTGGAATATATTACATAATTTAAAGACAGACTTTACCCCTGACAAATCACCTTTTCCATTGTGATACTGAGTTGTTTTATTATTTATTTTATGTTAGTTTCTAACTCATTTGTTCAATTTCATTTATATATTCAGTTTTAATTATTACTTTTCACTTTATATTATTTTGCAATTACTATAGCTGGAAAAAAAGAATCTTGGGTGGATCTGTGCCCTCTGGTCCTTTTATGGCCTCACCCATAATATAGACAGCAGCAACATAATGACGTGCATGTATATGTGTGTGTGTGTTATGAGCATTTTTGTGTGTGTGTGTGTGTGTGTGTGTGTGTGTGTGTGTGTGTGTGTTTGTGTGTCAAAATGCAGCGTCTTTTTATTTCCAAACTATTCTTGTATACTGACTGGGAGAACAAGCCATCATTCAGGGTGGATCAAAGCTTTATGCAGCCTCACCTGTGTGAACAATCAATATGATAACAATACACAAATATTTTTGGGGATCTACAAAATAACAGAACCTTACCCTATCTGACCTTATATGAAGAGAATTTCAACCAGCACTTCAACATTCTTCAGATCCTTTAGAAATGAAGATACATTGCTACACACAATTGACGCAAATAAGTATCAGTATCATCACTATAGAAAATTAAAACAATTGCACAGATGGTATTTAAATATCAATATCACATCTATCTCAATATATTACTCCAAAACAAAAGGGAAACAGATTATGAAGCCAGCTCTGTTACCTCATTTGTTCTTTTGCATTTTCCTTTTATTTCATATTTGAACAAACATGTTTCTGATGGTGTTTTTTATAGCCCTGCCTCTTATGTAAGATTCATTTATTGCATTATACATAATGTAAATCAGAATTAAAATGTAATGATTTTATGCTTGCGGGTGAACAAGTAAACATTATTACAATAATGAAATTTTGAGAACTGCAACCAGTTCAGTTACTTCCATATCTATTAAAATACTGTAGGCTATTCATATAAACCATAATATAGATATTATATAATGTGTCTAGAGAAAATCATCGGTGCCGCCATGTGGTTACGACGATCGCGCGCTGATGACGCAGCAGATCAGAACAGTGTCGTGTGCGAGCATGTTGCAACAAAAACATTCTGAACAGGTTTTTTGACAGCGACTGCTTGTTCTTTGCCTTCCAACCAAGGTAGGTGTTTTAGTTAAAGACTGTTTTTATCAACCCTTTTTAGTGATTTTGACATAATTATAGCATTATGTTGGTGAATAATACAGTATGACAGGGATCCTGAAATCTGGCCAGCGAGATCCACTTTCCTGCAGAGTTTAGCTCTAACCCTAATCAAACACACCTGAGCATGCTTCAGGATCATCAGGATCATAAGAAAATCACAGGTAGGTGAGTTTGATCAGGGTTGGAGCTAAACTCTGCAGCGCATTGGCCCTCCAGGGCAAGATTTGTTTAACTTGTATATACCATATCAGCATACCTGACAACTATATGCAGTGCATGTATGTATTATTTAAAGGGCATATATAGGATTTAATTTTAAAGTGTCTTTTTTACATGCAGTAATTTTTCTCCTGTCTGTTTATTTTGTATTCTGTAATAGTTTGTTAAATAGCCAATTTTATTTAGCTTATTCAATGCATTATTATGCTTCTTCTTCTTCTTCTTGTTTATTTATCCAGCTAACTATCGAGCTCATTGAATGGTTTTTCTGAGGTAAATGTAACGTTACATGACATTGATTACAAGCCATTTTAGTGATGTCTTTCTGCGGTTAAAACACTGATTTAATGATTACATGAGACATGATATATTTTGGTAAGTTGTACTTTCAACATTCCTTCATTCATGTTTATTTTGTGCTGTAACTAGAAAAGAGGATATCATGCAACATTAAAGAGAGTCAAATGGTATTTATTGTTTGAATTTCGTAACAATTTGAAAGCTGAGACTTTGTTTAAAAAACTTTGTTTCTCTCTCTCTCTCTCTCTCTCTCTCTCTCTCTCTCTCTCTCTCTCTCTCTCTCTCTCTCTCTCTCTCTCTCTCTCTCTCTCTCTCTCTCTCTCTCTCTCTCTCTCTCTCTCTCTCTCTCTCTCTCTCTCTCTCTCTCTCTCTCTCTCTCTCTCTCTCTCTCTCTCTCTCTCTCTCTAAAATGTAAATAATTGTGAAAAAAAAAATTTCAGGATCAGGACAAAAACAAGTAATACTATCAGAAAAAAGTACTATGAAATACTATCAGAGAACTACACAGGGATCAGACAATGTCACAGGACACTTTACTTTTTGCACCACTGGTCAGGACGACCTGTGCCCTCTGGCCCTTTTATGGCCTCACCCATAATATAGACAGCAGTATATGACGTACATGTATGTGTATGTGTGTTATGAGCATTGTGTGTGTGTGTCAAAAAATGCAGTGTCTTTTTATTTCCAAACCATTCTTATATATTGAGCTCACCAAAAAACTGACAGTCTTAGAAGTGTGTCGCTGTATAATTGCCAGAAGTCGCGTCGCACCGGACAGCGAGCATGGAAAGCAAGAGTTCAACAAGCGGCCATTTTTCCACTCCACATGGTAAGCCATATTCTTTAGTCTCACTTGAAAACCTTCTCCCGAGCCAACAGACACTGGTGAGGTGTCCTCTTTTCACCTCGAAGGTGTAAGAGACCTTGCCTCCATTTCCATTTCCACCATTAATTGACTCACTCCACCCATTCCGTTAAAAGTGAAAGTGAAAGCAAACATTGCACACTGCCAAACATGAAACACACACAAAGTGCACAAAGTCTCCAGAAGAGGGCAGCAAAAACAAGTTTAGCAGCTCTGAACATTTAAGGAAGCAAAAAGGGTACATGGACTCCTGCTCTAAATTGCTTTAAATTATGTGACTGCTTTTTGTAAGGAATTTGAAAAGCAGATCACACCACTGATTGTAGTTAAAACATGCTTATTTCCGTTAAACAATGATGCATGTTAAATTACCCAATAGATAGAGCATTTACTCTTTATACTGACATAAAATCATAACAAAAGTAACAGAGAAAAGAGTTACAATTATACCTGCACAGTTCATAGGCTAGGATACTGATATGTTGGGTTTGACAAAGTCATAGACATAATCATCTCCTGGACAGGCTTTGACTTGAATAGACCTGGATCTGTAAGTGACACACTGGTTGAAAAACAACAATGACCAATGTGAATAAAATCCCATGACTTCACGGGTCACCACTCCATCCTCAAGTGTCAGATGAGAGCCCTTGAGATACAGTCCAGTTTCACCACCACATCCCACATAACTCACACAGCACTCAGACATCTGAGCACTTTCTCCATTCAAATACAGCCGACACCAGCCACTCCATTCAACTTTTCATTTTCATTCAACAAGAGCAAATTTGTTTTTATTTCCAATATATTTGTTAATGTTTTAATGTTTCTTGAAGCACTTGGAGACGTTGCCACAGCTCTTCTGGATTTAGTCTGTCTCATTTTTTTCTGATTCTTCATGTCAGAAGGACTGGATGTTGATGAGATCAGATCTCTGTGTGGAGCTCCTTGTGCATACAAAAATCTCACTGGATTATTACAATTAATGGCAAAAGGTATGTTTGGAAATGTAAACTGGTATTTCCTACTGACACACTAAAGCAAAAGATAGAAATACCTGGCTTAAAACCTTCTTTTTTTTTTTGTGAAAATACTAGAGGCCTAAGACTTCTGCACAGTAGTGTATAATTGAATTTAACATTTAATTTCCAATTAACCACAACAGGTTTCATACATGTTAAGCCTTCCATTTAAATTCCTCAGAAATCTATCTAGACAGAATATAATTTAAAATCATGCACTTGTTTATTCCAAATACATTTCCTAAAAGGGCTGAAGCACTAAAGTCGCTCTGAATAAAAACATATGCTTAAAGTGTCAAAAACTTGTTGATAACATGAGGTGAAAATAAATAATGCTTTTATCCATTTGAATCCATGAAATAGGAGATAGGTGAAAATGGTGTTTGGTATTAGTGCACAAACAGTGTAATTTCCTTAAAAATGTGGTCATAGCTGTCATACCGACTATCATCTCTCTCTAGTTGGTTTTCAGGTTTTGCTGTTCTTGCTCTAACCAGCAGGTGAAGTCTGGTGTTACTGTTCTACTGTCTATCATGGATCATCCAACCTGTTACTCCACCCATTTTACCAGTTCATCATTACCATCTCATTATATTCCTGTGTGTGTGTGTGTGTGTGTGTGTGTGTGTGTGTGTGTGTGTGTGTGTCTCTTTTTTTTTATTG